GAGACATCTTATTCACTGATTCAAAAGGTCAGCACCTCAGCCACACAACCAGGTAACAGCTGTTGCCTATCTAAAGTTTCTGATCTCTACAAACTTTGTAGAACTGCTGGACTGCATGCAGTTCTACATACAGTACTGCACAAGATAACACAGCTGACTGGCTGCCCACTATCTGACAACCCCCATAGCAGTTCTATGAGGCCGGCCTACTGAGTACACCCATAGTAGCTAGTGCAACTGCCAAGGATAACACAGTCTATGCAGACAGTGCAGATAGCATAACTAGACTCATCTGTTTCAATTAACTATGATGTAATCAGTATAGTCTACATATATGACTTAGCTGATATGTGTTTTTGACTGCCGGCATTGTATCTACACGTACTCTGCTTTGTTTTCCTCTCATTTGCTCTTGTCTCTATCAGTTTAAATGCTTCTTCTTTCTTCTTTTCTTTGCTCTCTCTGTCACTGCTCTTTTCCTTTCACAACCTTCTTCAGTGTGTCAAGAACTTAGTAAGTTCTATAGAACTTGGTAAGTTTGATTATCAAGGATTCTATAGCAACTTGAAATCTGGAACATCTTACTTGATGAAATCAAGCAATGCCCCACTGATTCTCAGTGCTATCTCTTGTGTATATTTGAGCATGACTTTTCTTATAAATACTGCCTAATTGTCATGTAATTATCAGAGTTAGAAGCAATTCAATTATTTTTATTGATATTCAGTAATTGGGACAATATTCGGACTTTGTTAGTTCCGACACAGTGCTCTCTCCTCTCTTTTCCCCTGGGTCTGTGCCAGGTCACGTGACTGCAAGGTGTTGCAGATGACACAGTCTTTTCTTCACCTCTCTCTTTTATTTTTTTCATTTCAGAACACACACTTTCCCTCTCTTTCTTTCATTATTTATCTTATCTATCTTTCTTCTGATGTTAAAAGCACAGACAGCTTTCTGATCAACTGAGAGAGGTATCCCTCTCTGCTTACTACAAAGCCTTTCAAACATGGCAGCGGCGGTCCCTTCAGGGAACCACATTATAGCCCCATCATGAATGGCCATACATTGAGTCAGAAGTGGATGCACAGCTCAGAAAAGTCCTTTGCAATGAGCTGAGTCTTCTCAAGAGTTGCCACCTGGATTCTATTTTCTCTCTCTCTCTATGTACATAGAAATCTCTTCAGTGTAGCACATCTCCATGCCCTTCGGAAGGCTTCTGAAACACGGGCGCTGCCCGTGTTTTCTCCGAGACGTTAAACCTATACATACATACATACATACAGACAATTCAAATAAATGCTCTCAATGACATTTAGCATATCATTCTTCATAGATTCTGAACCAACAATGAAAGCAGCTGATTCTGACATTTTATAAAATATGTTATTGAACTGTTGTTTATTTTTTACATACAATAAAGGCTGTATTTATTATAGTTATATTAATAATGCAAATTGTTTAATGAATATACAACAGATTATTTACTCATCTGAGAATTCAGATAATTCATGTATGAGAAAAGCAATTCTGAAATATTGTTACTTTTACAGCAATTGAAAGAGTTTGAGATAAACTTGCAGAATATTATATCAGAATCAATCAATCATTTACTGATTATTATACTATTACTATTGTATTCAATTTCTCACATCAAATCAATGCATATACTCTCAGAGATTGAACTGAGGAAGAATGACAAATCTATGTTGATATAACTCAGATATATTACAACAACAACTATCAAGAATATGAATAAAATAATACATAAATTGAAAAGATAATAGATCATAATTCTCTGATTAGTTACTTTTTTTATAATACAAAATGAAATATTAAAATTAATTTAGTATTAATACTGATATAGAATTTGCGTTTATTAATTGCTGCTGAAAACCTTGTTATATAAAATGCTTGCAACTCTAAATTTGATTGCTATTTATAAAATAATTCTATCAATATAAAAGAAAAATCTATTTTAAATTTATGAAGAATAATCAGCAGTTAATATTCAACAATGACATGATATTCTGACAATTTTATTGACAGAAGTTGATATGAAAAGAAAGTTTAATTTAAATTAAGATATTTATCATTATTATCATAATCAATTGCAAAAAGAAACTGTGAAGAAATTGATGATGATTAAATATGAAAGAGAAAAAGAAATTGTTAATAAAAATTGTATTGTGATGGAATACTGTTTCAATGATACAGAGGAGGACAACATTGAGTGTGATTGTATATAATATAAATGAATTTGTGGGCATTATCAATAATTGTTAACTATCAATTGTATATGTATTATATAATCATCAGAATGAGAGTGAGTCAAAATCATGATCAATTTCAGATCATGTTCTTATTTTTCATAGTCAGCCATTTTGCATGAAATATCAAGATTTGTTAATCTTATTCTGATCATGTTAGACTTAAATCTGGTTCTTTTACACTCCATTTTTGAAAATTTTGATCCTTTTACACTCCCATTTTAATCCTGGTCCCACTGAAAATCACGCCAAAAAATGGACTGGGACCAAATCAAACCAAACCAAATATGTAATTCATAGTCCCACCGGCCAGTCTATCTGACATTTTATCTATTTTATTATTGAAATATTGTACAGAAAAGTCTTTCAGACTTTTAAAAATACTCTTTTTAATATAATATTCATTTTTTCTATAAACAGAATCTCTTCGAATCTTTTTCATATAATATTCAATTTCAATGAATCAATTGCATGTATGCAGACCGCTCTCAGGAGTTTCCAAGCGTATCTGCTGTCTGTGTGCGATATCTTCGCCCTGATACCGAAGCACTGAGGTTGGGAAATGCATTTATGCCCAGTTCAATTTCAGGTAAGGGCGGATCCCTTGAGAGTGTTTACATGAATCTAATATTCTATAGAGAGAATTGGGAAGGAGATTGGTATCACAAAGCAAAAGATTCTAAGCCTTCTGGAGACAGCACGGCATAAGCTAAGGAGTAACGGATGCACCTACGAATTATGGGAGAGTGACTCCACTGATGGATGGCTCTACAACGTTGGTTCACGCGAGAAAATCAAAGCATACAGGTGTGGTTGCTGTTGTCCATTGTTTCGAGCTGAATATTACTGCGACGACTATCTTGCTCTGATGCATCAGTCTTGGTACGACAAGTCTGTTGCTGACATGATTGAATGCTTCAAACGTCGGGCTTCGGACTTGAAAAAGTTGCATAAATGTGCAGCTGGGGTGTATTGCCCTCTTGTTCAGGTAGTATACTGGCTTGTAAATGAGTCATATGTTACACAGAAATCGCACCACGGTCTCTCTTTGGATAGTTTTGAAGATTAGATAGATTAATTATTACTGTTATGATCTGAAGAAGAAAATACCTGCAAGAACGTATTCATGGTTTATATCAAAAAATCCATCCTTATTCTTCGCGGATTCCTTTTTATATCCAACGACCTGTTTTCTGCACACTGGACATAAAATTGTGATAGTCCCAGCTTCTGAAAGCCGAGATGTGGTGTTGACATGCTCGCTGATGCACGAGATGCAAAAAGTATGACCGCAGAACAAAACCGCTTCAGCTGCAACAAAGCACAGGACAAAACACTGCAGCATTGTCTGAGTTGGGGTCATCTAGAAAATTTTGTTATTCAACTGCTTCACTGAATATGTATATAGGTCATACCAGAATCCAGTGAAGTCACGTCGGTAATAGCGTCAGTTTGTCGCGAGTAATTTCGATAGAGTTGACCTTTAAAGTAATTAGTCAGAGTGAAGAAGCATCCGAAGCGTTGCTTACCATCTTTCTGCGGTCCTTCCTCCAGGACAATCGGGTTCTGTGGAGAGGACCCCGGTTCACCCCCATAAGAATCATCGAGGTTAATCAAGTTCCGAATAGATGGGAGTCTATGATATTCGTTTACATTGCTGTCAATATCTATTGGATTCCCCGGAGAAGATCCACGTCCCGTGCTGAAAGAGAGAGGTGGGGCGGCTGAGTGGTGAAAGGTTTCGCGGTCGATATCAATTAGATGGTCTGGAGATGCGCGCTCCCCACAGAAACGAAAGGGAGATGGGGCAGATAGAGAGACTCCGTGGTCAATAGCAACCGGATGCCCTGGTCCACGATACGTATTGAAGTAGAAAGCAGGGGCAGAATAATGCACACGGTCGAGATCAATCGAACCTGGGGATGTCCCACGGACCCTGCTGGGGAAACTGGTCACGTAGAAGGTCATGATAATAATAAAATGACTCTTGTTAGCATGTCTCCCAAGCGACGCTGCTTGGGACTGAGTCCTGGCTTTATACTTCGTGG